CTCAACTAGTAACCTACAATCTATCTGGGTTTGCTGGGTACCTTCCTCCGGGTCAGCCGCTGCTGATCAAAGAGCATGAGTGGAGAGACGACCGGACGGGATTCCTGCTGGTGGGGGCGCAAGGATCATCCGGGCTGCATGCAACTTGGCAACCATCAGACACTAACAGGTGGCGTGGGAACCATGTCAGGTCAAAGGAACCTGCCTTTGGACGGGTCGGCCTGATGTGCCACATCCAATGACGCATCAAACTCTGCGAGCGGAGGGTCGCGTTGAGCTGGGGCCTTGGGCGCAGGAGACCCCGCAAGAATGGGGATTTTTGTGGATCACTGTGACGTTCCAAGCCTGACGACGATCAGAAGCTAGTGGGTGGGGGAGGAATCGCCTACGGGGCTGCCTTTGATTGGATCAAGGGAGCTAGGGTGACGATCAGCACTTAGCCGGAATCACTCGATTTGTGGTGACTGCGGGAACAAGGGCGCGTCTTCCCGTCAGTAGATATAACCCCCTCTTCCCAACTTGTTTTCCCACATTCCGTCGCCCAAAATGTCAAGTGAACATCGTTCTTTGCGTAGTAGGACGGTGTACTTCACTCTCAGTAAGTGTCTGACGTCTTCTACAGCTGACAGGCAGAGAGTCGAGGTGTGGTGGAGACGCAAGGTAACGGGGGAGGGGGTGAGTCTGGAGAGTCTTCAGACAAGGTCGATGTTGGTGAGATTTCTACGCTAAGTGAATCCCGCCTTTACTGACCCAGAGGCCAAGCTCGCACTGGATTGGGAGGTGCGGAGGAGCTGGGTGGGATGATGTCTTTGGAAAGTTCCTGTGAGTCAACTGGTGGGTTGAGGTTGTGACACTGACATGCAGTGGGTCGGGCGGGGAACACTACCATTCCGGTCTGCCCGGAGACTGGGGTCCCCAAAGGTGTAATTGCTCCTGACAGTGTGTCCGCTTCTGGTGAGTACCCCCCTCTGGTATGCCCATGCTGACAATGAGCGATGTGTCGGCCATCGGATTTGGGTCCTGTCCATGACCCCCTGACCGACAGGAACCCGACTATGGCGGAATCGTTGGCTGGAAGTGTGGCGGCTTTGCTTGGGGCAATGAGTAGCCACGGGGATGATTCGTGCTTGGTCCAAAGTCTGAGGGAAGTCTTTGAGCTGATCCCTCCATCTTACCAGAAGCTTGACCTTCCCGAACTTCCTGCTGGGATTGCTTTGCGGTATCCGGAACTTGAGGAGCTTTGGGTGAGGTTCGGAAAGTAGATGAGTGGACGTCGCAAGGAATGTATGGTTTGTTTGTCAGGCCACACCGTTCAGGGCTGCAAGGGGTTGGCGTAGGGTTTCCCGATCGCCACTATGCTACCGAGATGTGTCACTGATGCTTTGCAACTGACCCTCGTTTGAATGAAAGGATTGAATGGCTGGTACTCTGATTGACCCTCAGCTCGCTTAACTTTGAATTGATTGATGTGAGTGCTCGCACGCCGGACAAATCAAAAATTGATGTTCCCGCAGTGTCGTAATGTTTCAGACTTGCTACGCCCTTGCCTCTACACAACATAATTAGCGTCTAACTGTCAACCAATTTGTTCTTTCAACTCTCTTCTTAATCTTCTTAAACTTTTGTGAATCTCCCCCTGACCCCTGACGCCCTTTGACAACTTGACCCTTTGACTCCTTGCCAAGAGACCTGTCAACCCCTATGCTACCCCTAAGGGGGCCCCTGCCGTCACACCTTGACAGAGGCGCCTGCTCGGAGAGATCATAGAATACACAAAGGGGTGTCGCCCGTTTGTTGTGACTGGGCAAAAAGTGGACGAATAGTGAGTGGGTGTTTGCCTGTTGTCCTCTCGCCTTGATCTCTGGCCGTCTCTGGGGTTATCCTCCTTATCTCGCCTTTTGTCCCCGCTGATCTTTACACGGGTCGGGCTGACAACAGTGATGAGCGGACCCGAGTTTCCCCAACTGTTGGGGGAGCATTTACTTCTGCCGCCCAAGCGCAGGATGGCCCAGCCGACGGGATTCCGTCCGCTTATGGTCATCCCACAGCAGCGAGTCGTGCGGCCTCCGTCGGTGGTCCCATCGTGGTTGGTCGACTCGTGGCAACGTCCCACAGGGCCGGGGCGTCCCACCGGCCCCGGTCATCTATTTTGTCCGACCAAAGGGCGGCCCCGGTCAAGTGAGTGTTCCCCCGCGCAGACAAAACGTGACATTCACGCGAATCGTCGATCAAGCAAGCCCAACTGGGAATGAAGACCCTTTATCTTCAAGCTGAAAGTTTGGTTGGTGTTGGGGGAGATGGTGATGGGACTGACGGCTACCTACAGCTCACTGTGCAAGCAACTTGGTGGCGTCAGATGCTGGAGTAAAATCGGAGCTTTGGTTGGTCAAAGGAAAACAGTGAGTGGTCTACATGCCTTGCTTCCCACCCTGGTCTTCAGCTTGTATGCAGGGTGTTACTAGGGCCATGCGTTGACTGTCAGTCGTCTGAGCTCTGGCAATCCGTAGATATCCTAGACCTAGCATCTTCCATCCATCGTGGGGGTGCTGTGAGGGGGCGGCCTTGATCCGGCTGCTCTTCCGGGGGGTGTGTCTCTTATTGGTTGTGTGGAGGGGATGGAATAGCCTTTTGGCTGCGGGTTGGCCGTTTTGTCAGTGGTCCTCCTTGTACTAAATGGTATAGGTGGTGATGAACTACTTGCCGGGCGGCCCGTTTGCTGTATCTTCCGTCCAGCCACGGTCTATACTCGATAAATTACCAGTACAGTGACTGCCGGGCTGCCCGTTCACTACGTCTTCTGCCCAGCTGGCCCGCTTACATAATCAAATCACCAGTAGAAGAGTCGCCGGGCTGCCCGTTCGCTATTTTATCTCTCCGATTTGTTACATTACATAATCAAATCGCTAGTGGAAGAGTCGCCGGGCTGCCCGTTCGCTATTTTATCTGTCCAATTAATTCTATTGCAGAATAAAACCACTGGTAAAAGTTTGCCGGGCTGCCCGTTTGCTGTTTTATCTCTCTGATTTATTTCATTACATAATCAAATTGCCAGTAAGAAGGTTGCCGGGCTGCCCGTTTCCAATTTTATCTGCTCAATTGGCTTTATTACATAATCAAAGTAGCAGAGACCGGCTTGCCGGGCTGCCCGTTGGCTATTATATCTGTACAATTCACTTCTTCACATAATGAGATGTCAGAAAGGGGCTTGCAGGGATGCCCCTTCGCTGATTGTTTCTGTGCTTCTCCATACAGTATTGTTTAACAGTGTGGATGGGTACCAAAGTGAACACCTGCTTGCTGGTCTCATTGCTTGGGAAATAGGTACTGACAGGGATCAGTTGGTAATATTACATAAGCAAAAGTGACAATTAAATACCTGCCGGGCGGCCCGTTGGCTACTTCTCTCCTCGGTTGCTGTGATTACGTACTCGTCTGGTCGGTAATGGGTTTGCCGGGCCTAGCTAAGTTCACATATGCTCCCATGCGGTAGGAGGGTGGGAAGGCATCCCGGTAGGTGTGGTGTTTGGGTTTCTTCAATCATTACTTGTGTCTGGCCTGTATGACCCTTGTCAGGATTGCCCTTTGGTCAAGTCTTTTGTCCCCCTTCCTGTCTCCCATGTTTTACTGACGTCCTTTATCCCAGATCCTCTTTCTCTCCTAACCCTCCTCAATGTGGTTTCCTTGCAAGAGGAGGCTGATCAGGCAGCCCTGCAGGGTACCTTCTCCTGACAGTATCTCACTGTTTGGCTTCCTGGTTATGGTGAGAATACTATTCTCCCCGGTCACCCGGTTCTGGTCCTTGTTTGTTGGTGTACCTGTATGAAGTACTATTGTCTTTTCTCCTTCCCTGCCGGTCACCAAATTGCTCGTATTTAACGACTTAGAATTTGATGTTCCACGTCTACGGTTAGTTGATATTTGGCTGCGTCTTGTTGTACGGTTTAGGTTCTAAGGTTAGTTGCTGTTTGGCAATGTCTTTTTTTGTGATTAGGTTCTACGGTTAGTTGCTATTTGACCATCTCTTAATGTGATGTTTGGTAGTCTGTGACTGGGGGTGATTGCTGTGTGGGTGTCTCGTGTTGTACCCTTCAGGTTGGGGGCTGGGGTTAGTTACTGTTTGGATGAATCTTGTTGTACGTCAAGGGGTGTTGGGGGTGGTGTGTGGTCAAACGTCGGGTTTCTCTTGTGGGTGGTTTGAGGTCTACGGGTGGGGTGGGCTGCGGT